ATCTGCTGTTCTGTTCCCCACTCTGTCTCTGGTGAATCCTCTCACCCCCAGCACCTCTGGCCTGTACCCAACTTTTGTATGCATAAAAAATAAACCCTAAAAAAAATAAAAAGAGGTGGACAGTTCTCTGAGAAATGCTACTCAAGACTCTACCATTATTTCAATTGTCCTCAAATATGGTAATCTGATCTTGCAAGGTACAAGAGTTTAAAAAAAAAAAAATCAGTGTCAAGAGCCACATCCGAATAAAAAAAGAGATGAGGATGAGTAAACTCATAAATATGAAAAGAACAGGTTCAAAGTGGCCACACAAACAGTTCTGTGAGAGCAAGATCCCACACTTCATCAGTAGTTTCTTTTGGAGACACTAGAGCCGAAGTCCTGCGAGAACGGGGCGGGAGCACCAGAGGTGCTGCCAGATACTACCACCAGCCAGTGTAGGCAGTGGTTTCACAGGACAGCATTTTGTAATTCCACCACCACCTTCCATAGGCCTATGGGAGAAAACCCGCTTCCAAACTGCACTTACTAATTATCTTTTCCATTAAAGAAAAACAAAACACTCAAGCACCAACAGAGCTCCTAACTCGTTTTGCCACCTACAGCTTCACTTTTGTAAGTGACCCAGCTGAGATTCAAACCGGCCCTGGACGACCATCACTGCCTCAAGAGGGCAACTGTGAAACAAGGGTTCTGTAAGAGCTGTAAAGTCAGTCCGGTCCTATTTTTATGTCACCATTTCCAATCCACAGTGACAAACAAAATCAACTCGAGCACATCCAGCCCATCCTTTCGGGCATCTCTGTCATCCCTCACAGCCATTCCTCCACATCCAGGTGGCACGAAGGGGAATCCTGGCCTCTTCCATCCTCACCTGGTGATGGGTTTCCAACTGTCCACCCTTCCATCGCTTCCAACTTCCTAGAGAGCTGAGACATGGGGGGTGGGGGGTGGGGGTGGGCTGTATGAGGCGAGAAGTGCACAGCTGGAGGCTCAGAGGAGTCTTTCTGGGAGACACTCAAAAAGAATCTGTTACTTGCATGACACGGGAAGACTGTTTCACAGTACGGTTACTATATGCCGGATATCAAGTTCAGTGTTAGCCACAAAACTATTAGCTGTTCCACCTATAGCTGAGGGCCGAGTCACACAGAATCAATCTGGGTTCTTGCAAGTCTTTCGATGGTGCCTGCCTCCAGCAAAACACCTTCGTAAATCATTTCCAAGATTACGGGTAATGAGCATTCTTAAAGTGACTTTACTTTTGCTACATATTTTCTTTTTTAAAAAACTTTTTTTTTTACAAGAACAAATGCACTTTAATTGGCTTTTCAATAAATTTAAATCCTTGAGGGGTACAGCATCACAGGGATTGTGTCCTAGGGCCTTAGCTTGAAGGCTGCTTTGGAATTTTGCAGGAACCATGCCACTGTTTCCATGGGTACGTGTTACTTTCCCCCAGATTACTCTAATTTTATTCGGTTTGCCACCAGGAGTCACTGCATTGTTTGTTGCTTTGTACACATAAGCTCATCTCTTGCTGAGATAGAATTCTGTTTCATCTCGTACATAAACACCTTCAATTTTAAGAAGAGCTGTATGTGCCCTCTGGTTTCGTACACCCCGGTGTAGCCAGCAAAAATGGCCTTGGACCATAGCCTTCCAGCCATGTTTTAGAAGTCCTGTTCCCAGCAGGGACCAAGATGGTGGAAAGAGTAAAAAATCTTTTTAAATTGAAGTTAAAGCATATAAACTCCAGGTGTGCAGCATTAAAAAAATCAACATGTGCATGTACCATATTAAGTTCACTACTAAAAGTCCACTTCTATTCTACATATTTCAGAGCTAAATTACATGGTTGTTCCACTTGTGACAACAGATTCATCATGGGGGGAAGGGAGCGAATGCTAGACAGCACAGTAGGCTTGAAATAAATGTATCAGAGGTGGGATGAAATAAATACTAGTGATCGAGTGAAGATTGAAGTCAGAGCTTCTACATGACCTTAAGCAGTATAGATCTTCACGCCTCACTTTCCTCACTTGAATTGATTATAGTAGTGGTCCTTCAGACAGCTGGGGTACACCCTTGTAGGTTTAGCTAAGACAATGTATGTGAGTGAACGCTTGACACCTGGTAAGTGCTCCAAGCAGGTATGCTGTTATTAGCTTATCTCTTAACAGAGCCTGCAAGGCATTACCACCTTTTCACAGGTGAAGAAACTGAGGAACAGGTGGTAGCAGGGTCAGAACAGAACTGCCCAAGTCAGTTCATGCTCTTCCTGCCACTTACTGGCCAACAAGATTCCCCTACATTTCATGACTTTCCAAGAATCAAGAGAATCCCAAATTTTGGATCTTTTACTAGTGATTCTGAGACAAAGAGACCTCTATCCCAGAAGGAGGGAAAAGAAACAGATAACTGAGCGGTTATGAAGCCTCCACCAAGACTTTGAGAACAGTCTGAAGATAAGGTGAGATTTCAGAAGCGCTAGCAAGTGCTCCCCACAGGGGAGTTCTGAGGCGAGTAACCAGGCCACGGACTCGGGACACTAGACAGAGCTTAACCGTAGCCATCGTTCCTGCCAGTCTAGGCCATACACTTGGACCGTCTGTTTGGGAATCCCAGCATTTCATCTCCCTCTCTGGGAGAGACATAACGTACATCACAATGAAAGCAAAACTAATACTTTACCCTGCTGCTCTTCAGAATGAGCATGTCCATCGCATTCCACAGTCAGGAAAACAAACCAAGAATCACTTTGCATCCTGAGATAAAACCAAAACCAGCTATGCATTCTCTTAAGGTCTGCCCCATCATACTTTAAACATTCCCCTTAAGTTACCAATGTCAGAGATAAAAATTTAGTGAACAAGGTAACAAAGCGAGAAAAACTTTCCACCACAAACACACGACAGTAACCTGATATTCTTGGTAATATCGCACCCTTTGCCACTTAAATGTGTTCTGTCTTATTTACAAGGCAGTTCTTGTGAGGTCTGATTCCTTCACCCCTTTTGCAAGTAAATTTCTTTTACTTTGTTTTTATGAGTTTTCCTTTCCTATGATCAGAAAGTCTGAAAATTCATGCAGTAAACAAACTTTAATTTAGCATTTCCCAAACTTATTCGGGGGACACAAAGTCTACATAATTCTAATTTCACACCTTTGCCAGCTGGAAGATCCTGGGCAAGTCACTTCAATGCCAAAGCTTGGTTTCATGGAATAATGTGGGTTGTAACCACTGTATGACACCCCAGACAGTTGGCGGAGAACCTCAGAGTACCCAGCATATTATAAGCCCCCCCAGCAAACACCAGTACTTAAACAGAACCGATCCATTGCCATTCCAATGCACACCAAGGTTATGCACATCATCCTATTTGGGAAACAATTAAAAACCTCTCGCAGGTCAGGACATCTTCCGTGCAAAAGGGAGTAATACCAGGTGATCCTGATTTAAGGTGTTGCCTGTGCAGTTTGATGTGAAGTTAAAGGCGAACCTCAAGCGTTTTCTGAGCACAAGGTTTCCTCCTTCGTAAGATCAGTTACTACACACAATTGGGATTCAATTATAAAGCACTGTGCTCTGGTCATTGTTTTGTTGATATATCTGAGGGGCAGTAGCCAGATTTGGCAACACAACCCCCATGACTGCTGCAACAGGGGAAACATCACACAAATAACACACACAGGCCCCCCTTCACGAAAGACCTAGTGCAACCCAGCAAAATTCTTTTCTATAGACACTAAGTCAACGTTTCTGACAACTACAAATCACGTGGGCCCTGGATAAATTGGCTGAACAGTCCATCTATATTAACAGAACGATTTACACAGTTAATTCTCAATTACGGGAAGTAACACAGGTGATACTTAAATACTGTTTAGCACCGAGCCAAAGGTGACAACATTTAAATTTTTTTAGCAATGTTTCCCACTGAAACATTTTTAGTTTTTACTGAAAACAATTATTAAAATGTGTACGTTCCACATGTGGATTTGTTATAGGGCAGCCTCGATACTGAACAACCCCACCCTCAGGTCCCAGCCACCTTCCCTTGGGTGGGGATGGGATGTGGAGTTCCCAGTGTCTTTGGCTTTGGCCTGGGGTGGGGGTGGAGCCCACAAAGCCTGTATGGGATTAGCTTTAGGACATCCTTTCCCCCTAACAGATTCAATACGACTAGGAGCCCGATACTTGGAAACCACAAACACAGCCAAGGCTGGGGGGTGGGGAGGGGGTCACACAACCGAGCTCTGTCTATCTCAGAGCAGCAGCCACAGCGGAGTCACCTGATTCTGAATTTTCTAAACCTTCCAGCCGCGACAGGGCTTTCCCCACCAGCGCGGCTCTCTCGCCCCGTCTCCGGCGCGAAGCCGGCGGGTCCGCCAGTCGCGCCCGGACAAGGAACACAAAGGCCTCAGAGGTGCGCAGCGCCCGCCAACTCTCGGGAGCTGCTACCTGCGGCTGGCGGCTCCGGCCCGCTAGCTCTGCCAGCTCAGGTTACATCCGAATTCCTCAACTCCCGAGACGAAGGCCGCTTTCTTGGGGGGCGGGGGGGGGCGCCTCGCCTGCGGCCCTTTCCATCGCTAGCCCGACGCCCGCGGGCGGCCCACAGCACCCCCCCGCCCCCCGGCCAGGCCGCGGCCTCCCGCCCGGCACAGGGGTCGCGCCGGCCCTCCCCAGCCCCGCGCCCCCCCCGCCGGCCCTGCGCGCCCCCCCCCCGCCGGCCCCGCGCCCCGCCGGCCCCGCCCCCCCGCCGGCCCCGCGCCCCGCCCCCGCCGGCCCCGGGCCCCCCCCGCCGGCCCCGGGCCCCCCCCCAGCCCCGCGCCCCCGCGCAGCGCCAGCTCCGCCCCGACGAGCCGCGCGCCGCCGGGCAACTCTCCCCAACCCGCTCCCGCCTCAGTTTCCCCGACGCAGGGCTGAGGCGCACGGGCGGCCCAGGGAGGGGAGGGCCCCGGGGAGCGCTTCAGACCCCGCGGCGCCGCGCACTGACCTGCAGGTGACCTGCTTGGTGCTCATGGTGGCCGGGCTGAAGGGCCGTCGTCGCGCCGCCGCCCCGGACTCTCGCCGCCGCCGCCGCCACGGCCTCGGCCCGGCCCATCCCGCGCAGCCGCGTCACGCAGGCGCACTCCGCCCCTCCGTGCTGCAGCTTTGTAGTGCCGGCCGGAAACCTCGCCGCCGTCACAATTGGTTCCGCCCAGGGCAGAGGCTGGGCGGACCGCGTTAGCCGGCACTCTTTGTCCGGCGTTTGTAAGCCTCCGTGTGGGTACTGGCTGCGCTTCGATTCCCGCCCGCTCTACCCCAGCGTTCAAAAAATAGTAAAATTAAAAATTGAGGTGTAACAGGCTGTAGAAAGTGCACAAAACGTATATACGCCTCTATGGAATTTTACATACGGACATATGAAGCCACCACCCAGAACATTATCAACGTTCCTTATGCTCCCTCCATGTCAACACTGGGAATAAACCCAAAGGCTTGTCGTCGCCAAGTGTCGTCTTAACTTAGTCTGCACGGTCGTGATTTCATGTAAATGAAATAATTGACTAACATACCTGTGAGTGCTATCCCCGTCGCATATACATGTATGTTGCTCTTTTACTTTGCTGTACAAATACGGAGTCTTCCAATGAATAATCAAGGTATATCATCTCCATTTTGAAAATTTTCTCAGAAACTTTGGAAGTGTAGTTTTCAGTGTACAGGTCTTTAACAACTTTTATTAGACTTATTACTAGCTAGCTAGTGAGGGTTTTTAAAATGCTATTGAAAATGCCTTATGAATTTACTAATTGTTGTTTGCTCCATGCTAAACTCATGGATTAATTCTAATGGCTCGTTTGTAGATTGTGTTGAATATTCTACACACACTGTAACAGGGTGGTCCCCAGGAAAGGGGGAGGTTCCAGGTTCCCTGCCCCACCCAAGGGAGGGTGGAGCTGAGCAGGAAGAGGAGAAGCTGCAGAAGAGACTGAAGGAAGGAAGCAGGATGGAGCCAGGAGACCTGGAGGAGGCGCATGGAGCCTAGAGACACGTAAAGAAACTGCGCTTGTCTTTTGGTCGTGGACTGGGTGACACAGATGTGGGTGAGACCTGTGGGGAGGTGACAATGGCAGCTTTTATCTTGATGTTGATTTTGCTCTTTTCCTTCCGGGCTTGTCCGGTTGTTTGTGACCCTTTTCTGTGGGTCCCCACTGGAAGATGCTTTAGACTTGTAGCAGGCTTTGGGGCCTTGCCCTGGGCCAATCCCATATGGATGGAGTTTTACCCACGAGGGGATGGGTAACTTTGGGTGCTTCATTTAGAAACTAGACTCTTTGCCTTACCTGTATTGTTTCCTAGTTTTATTAAAGTTCCTTCCCATTAAAGTCTCCTATGTTTTGTGTTGATGCGGCGGATGGCAGAACCCATTTAGAATAGGCAGGTTTGCGGGGCTTGGGCTGCCCCTCTCCCCGTCCTATAACAACACGACTGTACCATCAACAAGTAACAATACCTTTACTTGACTTTTCATCTTTACATCCTTTCTTTTTACTGCCTTATTGTAAAGCCTGGCCCCTTCACTACATGCTTAAAAATAGAAATAGTGGACATCCTGTTTTGTTCCTGAATTATGGGAAAGTATTTAATATTTTTCCACGAATTAAACATGTCAGCCATGGGGTTTTTATATATGATGGGAGTTTCTTTCTCTTTCTATTTTCCTTAAGAATTTTTATCATGGACATGTCTTGATTTTGATCTAATCTTTTTATCCCATCTACTGAGAAGACCATATTATTTTTATTCTACTAGTGTGTTGAATTATATTGAATTTTAATGTCAAATTAACTTTGAATTCCCGATATAACCCCTTGCCCTTGAAATATTATTCTTTCTACAAATTATCAGTTTCTATTTGTTAATACTGTGTTTATGATTTTTGCATCCTTACAGTTTCCTATGAATCATAAATTAAGAGTTATTATGAGAAAAATGAGGGTAGGGGGGGTCACTTTTAGAGGACAACGGGGTTCTGTAGGACTGGGTCCTGAAGGGGCTTCTGAGATGGCTGGAGAAGGTATTGACTGCAGGGACAGTTCCCAGGGGCTGACATTGAAACCATTCCTCGAAAGGCCACAATCACCAAAGCTTTCTTATTCTTTGTGGTAAAAGAAAAAAATGCCCCCAAATTCATTGTGCTGTATGATGGCTTTGTTTAGTCTTCTGTTTTTGTGTTTTCTTTCACAGTAAGATTTTAAAAAATAGAACAAGGTAAAAAAGATTGAAGATGCCCATGTTTAAAATAAGACTGTTAATATACTGAAAATGCCCACTAAGGCAGGATGTCTCAGGCTTTTTCATAAGATTAACAACACCTTTTGGGGGGCCTCCCTGGTGGCATAAGGGTTAAGTCTCAGTGCTGTCACCACCTCAGCCTACCGCTGCGGCCTGAGTTTGATCCCAGGCCAGGGAGCTGACCCACATGGCCAGCAGACCTCTCCTGTTTTGCCCACTGCTCCCCTCAGCAGTGTATTTCAGTAGATCTGCCTGTTCTGCTCCCTACTCTGTCTCTGGTGAATCCTCTCACCTCCCTGCACCTCTGGCCTACACTCCAGTTCTTGTATACATAAATAAATAAATCTTAAAAAAATTTTAAAAAGCTATACCTCTTGGTATCATGAAATGAATATATTCTTAGGTGACAGTAACTCAGGTCACTCAAGCAATCACACGATAGCCTTGTGGTTGATATCAATAATGAACAATCCCAGATCCTTGTCACCTGAGCTGGGTGCCTACCTGTTGCCTGTTTGCCTCCACAGGAATGAAAGAGGTTTGGTTAAAGTGACTTCTGAGGTCTTCACTTCTGTGAGTCTGACACTCTGTGAATGTGCATCATCTGCATTTCAGCAGACTGTCATGCATTTACATGCAGGCTAGGAAACATTACTGACTTTGTGGAAGTTTCCAAGATGAAAGACATATATTCATGAAAGTATATAATGTAACAGGGGCTTAAAAGGGAAAGTATATAGGGCCTCCCCGGTGGCGCAGCGCTTGAGCGCTGGGTTGTGAAGCTGCCCGCAGCCTCTGCAGCGCCGGTTCGATCCCCGGCTGCTCCCCGGCCACTGAAGGAGGGTCCCGCATGGCGTGTAGACCTCTCCTGCTGCCCGCTCTGGTGAATTCTGTCACCCTCCTGTGCTTCTGACTGTACCCAGTGCTTGTATAAATTAATTAATTAATTAATTTTAAAAAAAGGGAAAGTATATAATGTAACAGGGGCTTAGAGGGAATACTCACTAACCTTACCATTAGTTTCCTCAGCAAGTAGAACATGGTAGGTGGGAAAATGTTATGGAGAAATAGGGGGGCATTTCCTTTCTTTCACATATTTTTATGTACTTGCTCAAAATTATTTTAAGATTAAAGAATTATATATTGCTTAGAGTAAAATGTACAGCTTGATGAATTTTGACAAATGGAATACTCTCCTATAATCAGTGTCCAGCTAATGTATAAGAATAGCACCAGACCTCAGAACCCCCTCATGCACTCAGACCCAGTCAGTGCCCGCACCTGGGGTAACCACTATCCTTATTTCTGTGTGGTTACTTTTAAAGATTTATTTATTTATTTATATTTATTTATGCATAGAAGAGCTGGGGTGTAGGCCAGAGGTACGGGGAGAGGGGTGTGTGTGACAGGATTCACCAGAGACAGATTGGGGAGCAGAATAGGTGGATCTACTGAAATACATTGCTGAGGGAAGCAGCAGGTGAGACAGGAGAGGTCTGCTGTGCCCTGTGGGTTAACTCCCTGGCTGGGGATCGAACTTGTGCTGCAGTGGCTGAGAATAGCTTCATAGTGCTGAGACTTAATCCCTTGTATCACCAAGGGGAGGCCCCTCTGCGTGGTGACTTTTAAAGAACAAGATTATATATACAATTTAAAACATCAAGAGAAAGGCTCAAAGTAAGGATTTTATTTATATGTCAAAACCAAAACAATATAGGGCCTCCCCTGGTGGTGCAGTGGTTGAGCGCTGGGCTGCGAAGCTGCCTGCAGCCTCTGCAGCGCCGGTTCAATCCCTGGCTGCAGGCGAGGGTCCCACATGGCACGACAGATCTCTCCTGCCACGCCTGCTGCTCCCCTCAGCAGTGTAATTTGTTAGTCTGCCTGTTCTGTTCCCCACTCTGGCTCTGGTGAATTCTCTTACCCTCCTGAGCTTCTGACTGTACCCAGTGCTTGTATAAATGAACAAATGAATCTTTAAAAAAAAACAAAACCCCAAACAATATAACCTGTTGTAGAAACCCCCAAATAAACAGCAGTTCCTAACTCCAAGAAGCTCACGGGCTAATGATTAATTAATGAAACAGTTCTGACAGAAACATGAGCCAAGAGCCACCAGCCTGGGGGGATGCCGGAAGGGGGGAGTAAGGTGTCGGGAAAAGCAGGGCTTGAGAGGGTGAGTAGGAGCTGGCTGTGAACTGTTGCAAATGTGTACCCAAGCATAGCTGAAAACTAGCTGTTTAAGAAACTAGTTTATGGGGCAGCCTGGTTAATGGTTAATCCTGCCTGCCTTGGCTCCTGCAGGACAAGTTAGAATGACCTCACTGTTGATCAGGTTACTTAGGCGGTGTGCATGCGCCAGCTGTGTAACAAGGAAAAGGAAGTCTCTGGAAATCGGGCCAGTCGCCTGGGGGAAGCCATGCAGCTCACAGAGGCCGGAAAGCCTTTAATTAAGTTCAGCCACTGCAAGAAGTCCCTCTACAGCTTCAGCGTACCCCAGTGCTGCCCCCTCTGCCACCAGGACCTGGGATCTTGGAGGCTGGAGGAAGCACCTGTCAGCATCTCTAGCCCGTTCACCAACGGACACCAAGAAAAATGTTCCTTCCTTCTTAGACCCACTCAAGGGACGTTTCTTAGGTACAGTGTTTTCTGGGTGTTGGATTGAATTTTCCCAAACTTTCCCTCTGTGTCTTACTCACTAAAACCTTTCTCTTCCTGATGCACTATATGGTGTGAGGTTTTGCGGATAGCATTTGGTCCAAGGTAGAGCTCTGTGTTTCATAAAAATGAATGGTGTGTGTACTTTCCTGAAATGATAATCACGTGACTCTCTGAAGAATACGTGACAGTCAAACTTACTTCTACAATTTTGAGAAAATCGATAGCCTGGAGATTTTTTCATCCATAGATTTTGTGCTAAGAGCTTAACTGGGATAGTGACCCAGCAGCAGATCTTATCAAAATGCCACCTTTACTGTGAGTTAGTGTGTCTTTTCCATGGCAAATGAGTACCACACATGGAGCCCGCAGAATTGTCCCTGATAGTTTTTTTTGCATGGAGGCAAAGGACACTGAAGACTAGAGCTGGTTTATGCAATCGTAGACACAACCTGACTTTGATGAGGAGATTCAGAAATTGAGAGAAAGGTGGTACCTGGGGTGTCCTTGTGGAGTTTACAGGGGGGACCTGGGGTGTCAGGCTTGAGAGCATGGGTGATACTGCAGGAGGCTCAGCCACAGAAGCGAGTTGACCCACAGCCCCCAGGCCTCGCCCTCCACCCTCCTCACTCTCACCGCCTCAGGGGCCGGACCTGGGCTTAGGGAGAGTGGAGTCCACCAGCCACTTCCCTGCTTCCCTGCTCTAGTGGGGATGGCCCCCCAGTGCCCTCACCTTTAGTATTGGAGGGGTCAAATAAATCCAAGTGGGAGAATGGGGGAGCATTTTCTACCTCTCATGTGCTCCTGGCTCCACTCACCTGGTAGATGGTGCACTGGCCAAGAGGAGGCCCAGGGCTCCCTCCTCCCTCAGTGAGGTGCCAACTCCTCCTGCCAGACACATGGGAGGAGGAACACCCTCCGGTTTCTTTCAGGGACTACGACGGCAGGGCCGACCTCCACGTCGGGATAGCCAGCACAGCGGGTGAGTGCTGGCCGGGCCTGAGCGCCAGTGGGCAGTGGCCACTGACGACACTGAGTATCTGGAGGCTCCTCCGTGACCTCTCAGCCGAGGGCCTCGCAAGCCTGTGAGCTCTGTGGGCTTTTAAGAGAAGAAACAGCTGCTGCAGAGGGGGAGCTGCCCACGACCTTAGGAACAAACCCAGGCCCTCCATTCCCGCCGGACATGCAGTCCACCACCGTGGGGTCTTCACACTGCAGGGCCTTGGAGAAGCAGGATACAGCCTTGCGGGGTGGGGGTTAGGGAGCTGAAGCTGCAGGCCCACAGGTGAAATTCACGACAGTGAGCAAAAACGGGCTGGATTTGAGCTCAGAAGGATTTACCCCGAGTCTTCGTGAGCAGAGGTTTATTGCTGACTTAAGGAAATGAGGCAGGCCCCTTTGTAAATACAGATTTCAGTGCAAACATTTTGGATCAATTATCTGGGCACCTATTACACTTCTGGGGGTGACTACACCAAGCTTTGCTGAGTGCTGGGAGGCAGAGCCACTGTCAACCCTCCCTGATGCCAGACAAAACCCATGTAAACCTCTTAGGTGGGTGGCTGCTTCCTGAACTTGACCTTGGAGGAAGGAGATTCTAGAACCTGGGGTGGCCCACAGCTCTCCAGCAGGGTTTCTGTTGTGGGAAGGGAATGGGGTGGCTGCTGTGAGCCCCTCTTCACAGGGGTGCATCTCGGGGCTCCCGCCTGACTCTGGTTCTGCTGCAGGGGTTGTATACAATTACACGGCGTGCGGCGTGCAGCGGGACAAGGTAGGCTGGGAGCAGAGCGTCAGCGTCCCATTACTGCCGCCTGGCATGTTCGGGCTGATGGACCAGTGGGACAAGTACCTAGAAGACTTCTCCAGCACTGGGGCCTGGCTGCCGCACAGGTACGGGGCTCCCTGGCCCTCACCGGTTGGGCAGGTATGATCCCGGCTCACAGAGGCTCACTCTTCACGGTGATCCTGTACTGAGACGGTGGAGCCTGCAAGAGAAGTTGAAGCAGGGGTAGAACTACCCTGGGTTCTCTGCAGCGGTAACTGTTGCCCATTTACACAACAGAAGCGCAGCATTTTAAGAAGAAAGGACCAGAACTTAGTACTCCAGCTATTTGGCCAGGTGGCGTCACACACCTAACATTCGATAATATGTACAGCATGACCCATATTTTATTCCCTTAAAAAATAGATAAAAACATGATGCTCCAAATGCAAAAATACTTAAATCTCCTCCCTTTCTGTAGTTTAAGCAATTTGTAAATTAATTCCTCAATTCTTTGCTCTCTTGTCCCTTTAGGAGGCTTCAAACTTGTGAATTTAATCAGTTTCAATGCTTCTCTTGAAACCTGTTTAGACGCTGTGGGGTAGCATCCAACTTAGACATGGAATTCCATTTGTAGCATCTACATTTTCAATGGAATTAATTCCCCTTAATTGGGGTTTAATTTATGTGAATTTAAGTCACCCCTCTGAACATTTGGGGGAGTCCATGCCTACCTGTACTCAGGCAGCGAGTAGAGAGAGCCCTCAGGCTCCATCGACGGCTCTTCTGGAAGCTCTGCAGCCAGGTGGCCCCGGCCCAGCCGCAGAGGGTAGACAGCTTCCAGCAGTTTCCCAGCCTGTTCCTCAGCTGAGCCTGCTCTTCTTGCTCCTGGTTTTGTCAGGTATGAAGAAGACCAGAACAACTGCTACAGTTACACTCTCACCTTCATTAACTGCGTCCTGGCCACGGAGGGCTGGGAGCAGCTGGACAAGAATGAATTCACGGAGAAATTTGTGGTCCCGAGGACAAGGCAGGCGTCTAGGTACATCACGCTGTACCGGGCGGTGGAGGAGCAGGGCTTCTGTGTGACCCCCGGCCTGGACCCAGAGGCAGCCGCCCCGCAGGGCAGTGCTCCGTGCTGAGGGTGGCGAGGGTGGACGGCTATGGGTCTCCCTTCTCCCAAGGTGTCGGAGGATGAGAAACAAACAGGGTATGCCTTCCTATAAGTGCTTGCTACAGTGTAAGGATTCTAAGTCAATAAAAGTTGCCGAGTTTTCAAAATCGCCTGTGTTCCAGCTCAATTCTTTTCACAGTGGTTCAGCTCTTAAACTGTCCCAGCACCCAGAGTGGGCAGAACACACAGAGCAACAAAAACTCTTTCTATACACGAATGAGAGTGAACAGGTTCACATTCCTCTGTGAATCCAGAGTGTGGGGACTCGCAGGGAGGAGAGGCGGACATGACTCAGGAGTTTGTACCTTCACCTCATGAGTCAAAAACAGTTAAACACAACAAGGAACCCAGGACAGGCATCCTGAATGAGCTCCCTGGGATCTGTGCACAGACAGGATTGGACCCCCGCGTCAGCAGGACATAGGCTGTTTCCTTCTGCCTCACCTGACGCCTGGCAGGGGAGCATGGGGGTGCTGGGTTTACCTGGGCAAAGTGCCCCCTCCTGCTCTCAGTGCAGAATTCAGAAGGACGCAGGAGGGAGCTGTCTGCTGACACCCCAGGAGGGGGACTCGGGGGTGGGGGGAGGCTGGGATGAGCAACTATAAACTACACTCTGCCAAGCACCAGCATCCACCTGCCCAGATCATCGCCAAGCTAAGTCATCAGTGAGCAAAGTTCCTTTTTGGAAACTGCTCCCAGACTTGCTTTTGTTTTTATCTAAACATGAGCTTTGACGCCACCTGATCCTATTTTGCAACCTCAGTGCCAAACTATGTCTGACTGGCAGATGCCACAGCTGTGTCCAGTGCCCAGGGCCAAGGTGCCAGTGGCCACTAGTGACAATGGTCATCAGAAGTGTCCAGGTACAGGCATTTGTGAGAATAACGAGGCTTCCCACCCAGGACGTGATGCCATTTGAAGCAGAGCTGTGGTGGCCCTTTCCTGGTCAAGGGCGTGTGGCGAGCCCTGGGTGGGGGGGGCGGTGGTGTTGAGGCTGGGAACACCCCAACTCACCTCCCTTCTCTGAAGTCTCCATCCTGGGACCCGTCTCTCTGGTCTAGTTCTCCATGCGATAACTAAAAGCAGAGATGCCACTCTAGGGAGCTCTCCGCCAGGACCCCACACTGGTACTCACTTCTTATTCTTCACTGGAGCTCACCCTGGGAAGCAAGGACTACTGCCAGCACGTTTTGCAGATGAAAAGGGAAATGGAGTGGAGAAACCAGGGTTCCAAACCGAGTCTGACTGCAAAGCTGAGTACTTAGCGCCTGGGCTGCTGGGGCCCTGGGTGAGAGCCGGGCCTTCAGTTTACCAACACTGGAGAAGGTAAAGCAGAAAATGAGGATTTTGCTTTCATCGACAGTCAAAGATGGAAAGTGAACAATCCACCACAAAACAGTTCAGATAAAGTAGGACTGTAGTTAGAAGTGCCATCTCACTCTGAGGCTGTACTCCTTGACCTTCGAACACTGCTTTCATGCCCTATTTTAGGGATTGCTCTCCAACCTGGAGGGGACTCTGGCAGTAGTGGGCCTCATTTTTCACCTCAGCAGGGGGCCACCCCTTCCCTGGTGAAACCACAGCGCCACCCACAGCCCCACCTCCCAGACAACGCCAGCAGGTGGCAGTGTCGCCCAGGCCGTGGCTTGATCACACCAGAGACCTGCCGCCCCAGAACAAGGGGCTGGGGGTGGGGGCCTGCGACCCAGAGCAGCATATTGGTGGGCCTGGGCAACCTTCCGCCTCCTCACAGCTCACTGACCTCTGGGCTCCTTCACAACATGGGCACCGTGAGCCTTGGAGACTGGTGCGAAGGACTAAAGCGACCCGCTACAGTGTGGGGATACCCTCCTGCCAGGAAAACCCATGCACATCATCTAAAGAGAGCCCCTCTCCTTCCTCCCCCCCACCCCTGCCCTGGCCAAGCCTGTGGGCTTTGCACAGCAGGGCCTGCTAGGGAGCCTACTGTCCATGCACAGCCTCACCTCAGGCCACCTTTCCGGCACCTCCTCCACTGGGCTTCCTCCCTGAAAGGGAAAAGCAGACCGACCTGTCTCGGACCCTCGTTGTGTTTAGTCTGTAGAGCAACTCAGGAGGTACCAAGTCTCCCCATTTTACAGCAGAGGAAACTGAGGCTCAGAGCAACGAAACAGGATCATCACAGCTTTCCTAGTGTAGACTTGGGATCTGGCTCCAGCTTTTGCTGATTCCATTCTTTCTACTCTGTCAGAACATGCCATTTAAAAGTTGGGAAGAAGGATATGCACCTTGAAACAGGCAGACTGTAGATTTCTGAAAATTGTAGATTCTAAAAAAATACGTGATGCTAGAAACCTTCCACTGAAAGATATTAAGAGTGAATTACTTTAAAAACAGCTTAATTTCACAAATACACTTTCTTATATCATGTATTTAAGTGAGGGATCCTTTTTTTCCATAAAATGATTTTTTAAAAAAGCTTTAAATCTTTTTGGCTTAAGTATAAAAAGGTAAAGATTTAAGACAAGCTGATGAGTTTAAACCTCTCAGTCAATTTTAGAAATGAGTCTTAATTAAACTTTTGAGGACATTAACATTCATTGCAGGTATATTTTTGCAGGTCTGTAATCAGTTTTAAAAATTAAATTCTGTTAGTAAAATCATCAACAGAAAGTAGGCGGTAGAGACACATTTGATTTCTTCTTAACCCAAGACTCCCCCCAACAAGGGACAACTAAGTTGAGGCTCAGGTTCAAGTAAAAAGCAAATATTTTCAAAAAGAGGAAATGAAAATGCTTTAACATTTAACAATAAAGTTTAATAATTAAGACAAAATAGATACTTTACTCAATAAATAACAATGAACATTCAGATTTGTGCAGGTAGGGAAATCTAACCAGCTCCAGCCTCCTCCCGCCTGGTAAGCCGCCCAAAGCCTCATTCTCAGTGGTTCAGACCTGCCCAGGGTTATATGTATGAACCAGCTACTCTGACAGAAGTGAACCCCTTTTCAAGAATGTAGGACATTAAGGGCACAGAAGTCACCATTTCCCCTTACAGTGGGGGATGAGGCCAGAAACCACGAGGCTTCAAGGTGGAAGCTGAGACAACGTGAGAGAACCAGCTGCCCACGAACAGCCCGGGGGGTGCAGAGACCAGAGTTTCTTGGGAAGGGGTGCACCCCCTCTCTCAGGAATCATCAGAGCTGCAGATGACCGGGGGCCGGGGTATGCGGCACCTGTAAGAGCCAACCACATGATCTAGAGGCCGCCTGGGCCAGTAACGTTGCTTTTTACTTAAAAAACAACAATAACAACCGAGGTGAGATTCATATTATGTAAACCTGTTTATTTTAAAATGGGTATTTCAGTAGCATTTGGCACATTCATAATGTCGTGTGACCACCACCTCTGACTACTCCAGAACATGGTATCACCCCAAAAGGCAGCTCCGTGCCCCGCAGCAGCTGCTCCTCTCTGCCCTTGGTAACCACCCATCTGTGTTCCCAGTGGATTTACCAAGGGCAGAGTGGCATTTGGTTCTTTTTCTTTCTTCCTCGTGTCATTTTATCTTCTAAAACATTAACAGCTGGCAGGTTCTGTGAGCACCAAGCTCTTTAACACTTTTAAATTAATGGGTGGTCACAATAAGAGGATGTCTTGCATCTCTTAGAACTTGCTTTACCACAGGAGGCTCAGGAAGTCTTGCTGGGGAATCGGAAATCTGCAGTGGATGGTTAAAGATCGTCCTGCTCACTCCTCTCTCGGGAAGAAACCCAACGGCTCAGAATCACCTCCTGTAACCAATCAAAACAGAAAGGCCACTGAACCCCCAAAACAGAAAAAGCTGCTGGTGCCATCTTAGCGGCACTGCCCACGGCTCCGTATTGTGATCGCAGCCGCTCACGCTCCTCGTACTAGAAACCTCTGGAGGGAACGAGGGTGCAGGACCAGCCTCACACAGAGCTGGGGCCCATGGGGGACACTCCGGACCTGGAGAGCCCACTGGCCTCCACTATTCCACTAGCACTTCCCAGAAACTGCCTCCTGCTGGCAGGAGGCTCATATTTACATTAGCGCTGGGAGGGAGAAGGGGATCTGGACTGGCATTTTATGAAAAGAAACCTAGTGGGGAAAAGCAGGACAAACTTGGAGGATGGCGGAGACCCCCCCCCACAGCAGGTCTGGAGGGGGCAGGGCAGGGGAAGGAGGAGGAAGGGCACAGTGGAAGAGGAGCCAGACCACGGATGGGGGTGGGGGGGAGGGAGGAGCCAGAAGGACCAGACTTAGGGCTATGCAGAACCAGACGGGGCGTCCCAGAGGGGCAGGCAACAGTGACCATGAGTCTCTGGCAATGAGACATGGGAGAGGCCTGGCCTGGCCAGAGACCCCAGGGCTGTTTCGGTGGTGGTGCAGAGGGGAGGGCTGACAGGAACAGGTGACACTACAGGTAAGGAAGCAGCAGGGGTTCGGGGAGTGAGCGTGGGGGCAGATGTCAGCTCCAGCGGGCCAAGTGGGGAAAGAGCATGTCCTGTTACGGAGGCAGGCAGTCTTCTTCTTTCCTTGGGACCTCATGTTCCTCGGGCTGGCAGGAATTTACCCCTGCGTCTACCCACCTGGACTTGGATGTGCTTCATACATTCTGGGGACTCCATGTCTTTGTCAGTCATGGTGGAGGGTTTGATCAAATAGCACAGCATAAGTTCCTATTGAGAAATGAAAAACAATCCCACAAAACATCAGTCTACATTTAGCTGCGTAACAGGAAACACAGGCCGCACCCACTGCTCCCAAAGTGCCCCAGTGAAAACTCACCAGGCACGCCAGCCTCACCCGGGACCATAACCGGCTCCCACTCTAGACGAAGGGCCGGCTGTTGAGCCACTGCTGATGTGGCAAAGGAGCGCACAGAAGGCAGACAACGGGGGCCAGCACGGCAACCACACGGAGAGAAGCTGCCAGTCCCATACCATGAGTATCAGATACGGAGCAGCACTGGCTCCCCATTTCTACAGGACAGAGCTATGTTCCAGGCTAAAGTCAAAGCCATGGAACCTGCACTCCAGGCTGGTGTCCTCTGGCCCCACCTCCCTCCTGGCCTCCAGCAGCAGTGGAACAGGGGGGTGGGCCTGTAACAGGGTGCTCCCCAGGAAAGGGGGAGGTTCCAGGTTCCCTGCCCCACCCAAGGAGGGTGGAGCTGAGCAGGGAGGGAAGAAGCTGCAGAAGAGACTGAGGAAAGAAGGAAGCAGGATGGAGCCAGAAGGAGACCTGGAGGAGGCGCATGGAGCCTAGAGACACGTGAAGAAACTGCGCTTGTCTTTTGGTCGTGGACTGGGTGACACAGATGTGGGTGATACCCGTGGGGAGGTGACCATGGCAGCTTTTATCTTGATTTTGATTTTGCTCTTTTCCTTCCTGGCTTGTCTGGTTGTTTCTGACCCTTTTCTATGGGTCCCCACTGGAAGATGCTTTAGACTTGGGGCAGGCTTTGGGGCCTTGCTCTGGGCCAATCCCATTTGGATGGAATTTTACCCACGAGGGGACGGGTCACTTTGGGTGCTTCATTTAGAAACTAGATTCTTTGCCTTTCCTGTATTGTTTCCTAATTGTATTAAAGTTCCTTCCCATTAAAGTCTCATATGTTTTGTGTTGATGCGGCGGATGGCAGAACCCTATATAAAATAGGCAGGTTTGCGGGGTTTGGGCTGCCCCTCTCCCTGCCCTGTAACAGGCCCAGTCTCTCTTCAGTTAGCAAACTACTGAGTAACAGAGGACACCTAAGCTCCTGTCCTCCAGAGTCCTGGTGTAAGATGAAATTTCCCTCCTATCATGGTTAGTGCCAGGATGTTCTAGGCGAACCCCAGAGCTGCATGTAGTGGCAGGGTCCCAGGCTGGTCCCTCAGCACCCCTGACGCTGCGATACCCCACAGGATGAGGATGTCACAGGAAGTGCTGAGCGGTTGCTGTGAGCACCCTCCCCCCTTGTCAGGAGACGCGCTGACTTCAAAAAGGAACTTGTCCAAGTCTGACTGTGTGGTGGACGTGTGAGCGAGCTCTGAGCGTGCTGCCCGTGTGCCCTGGAGGGAGGCACCCCCCCCCCCCCCGCCTCAGTCTCCACAGGAGACTCAGAAGCTGAGTTCCTGGGGTTCAGCCCCAGCTGGTGGGTGGGAGGACAGCTTTGAGCACCCTCTTTCAGAGCTTCGCTGGCAAGAACACTCTGGAGTTCCCACAAGTGACTTTTCTGGTTCTACCACATTAAAAAAACAATCCAACCACGGAGGGGGCACGTGGAGGCCCAGATGCTCCCTCATTACCTTGGAGACATTGACAGAGACTCTGCTCAGGGCAGCCAGCGACTTCCAGCTGAAAGGGCGGCGCAGAGATCCCTTGAAGTGCTCGTCGACCATCTCGATAATGACGGAGTAACTGCAAACGCAGAAAGGGAGCTTGGACCGAAAAGGCATGACACCGATGTGTTTGAGAATAGCGCCCCGCCCAGAAGGAAGACAGAGAACGAGGTTTCTATCACCTGACCCTAAATACCCCCAGACAGAACACTGAGAAAACCGGAGTGAAGAAACTCACCCCAACAAGCTTTCAAGCTGAGCGCCACACGCACAGGAGAGGGACAGACACGCTCTCCCAGCGTGAAGCCTCGGCGTCTGCTCCACTGGCAACGGCTACAAATACACAGTGACGCTGACCCAGACGTCACCGTGCAGATGAAGGCCAGGTTGACCTGGGACATGCACCCAGAGCCCGGCCTCCAGCCCACTGGGGTCCAGCCAGCTGCCGTGGGAGGCATGCAGGCAGGGCGTCCCTGTCCTCCAGGGGAACACGAGTAACCCTATGGAGCCCAGAAATCCTCCCCTCCCTTGCCATTAACTCATTTAAAAACTGCTCCAAACCTGGCGTGGTAAAATGGAGGGCCCTTTCGATACAGCACTGCAAAGAAAAGAGAAAGAGAGGTATGACTACTCGACATCAAAAGTTTACTTTGACACACGACGTTTCCTGCTCCAAAGGCACGTAATTATCTCTGGGCGGATCATCAGCAACATGCCTGGGCTCTGCTTCTGAACCCAATCCTCCTCACCCCGCCAGAACAAAATGCACCCATTAAAGCAATTCTGTAGCCAAGACCCCAGCGCTCTGGCCTCTCCCCACCCCAGGAGGGAGTTTTGAAGTCAAGCACAAGCAATTCCTGTGTTGCGTCTCGTCTCCACAAGCGCGAGATGTTGTCAAGAATGTGAAGTTTATATAACATGGATCAACATTTTGTCATTCATTTCACATCAATTTAATTCAAAGTATCTGAGCTACTCTGGCCGGGCACTGACTCAGGGGCTGGTGCTGGAGAGGAGTAAGACTCAGGCCTGTTTTCAAGAAATTCACAACCAAGTGGGGGGAAATCACCTAAGCACATGTGCCACTGGGCTAGCAGCTGCCCGACTAACTCAATTTGAGGAGGGCAGGACGGCTCCTATGAAGGACCCTGCCACAGGGACCCTGGCACTACACGGGAGCCTTCAGGGGGCACAGTCTGTGATAGGGACTCCTCCCTGTCATCCAAGCCATTTCCTCTCCTCCTGCACATGGCCTGACCATGTCCCTCAGTCTCCCAATCAGCGTGACCATGGCACTCCAGGGCTGGCCGGTCCATAGGCCACGCCAGTGCTCTGTCCTCTGGGGAGGGTGCTACAAGCTGTGTGCTGAGGGCTCTGGAGCCACAAGGCAGAGGCCCGGACTCCAGCAGCACCTGCCCGCCACTTGGCCACACGCCTCAGATTCCACATCAACATAAAGGCAAGCTTTGATTGTGAGCCCCTGAGAGTTGGGGTTTTTCTATAACCACAGCTACGGGAGTCACCTTAACTAACACACAATTACATTGGTGAGCTCTGAGCTGTCCCCTTGCAAAAACCAAGGCAGAAAAGTTGAAGGAAAAGCTTTGCATCTCCTTCATGGCCACATCAGTCCTGCAGCTACTCACGCGCTGGGCATTCAGCACAAGGCAGGGAGGACCTGCAACGATGCAGACCCTCCCCCTGGCCACGCCAGCTTCCCAGCGTTAGCTTCCTTCCAATTATTCTATTTCCTATTTAAACCGCGTTTAACATACTCGGCAAGTCAGCTCAAAAGCACGGGGTAAGGCACAAACGACACACGATTCTCAACTGTGGAGAAGTGCTGTAGAGGAAGGAAACCCCACAGGGGATGAAACTGAGTCCAGGGGCCCTACTTCCTGCCCAATCCCCAAATTCCTGGCTGTGCGGCTCTAAGAAAGCTAGTAACTTCTCGGAGTCTCAGTGGTGGACATGATGAGACATAAGAGAAAACAGATCCTTCCTCAGCCTCCACTGCCATCACCTACGGACACCTGGAACACACCTGAGAGCACCTCCTCCCCCGAGGCAGGGGCTTTCTGACAGCCACACATGGCAGTGGCACAGCTCAGAAGCTACAGGCATGTACAGGCATCAGAGAGACCTGAGTTCAAGGGTCTGCAAGGCCCAGACTACATGGTAACTCTCTGCCTCAATTTCCTTTTTCTGAACGACAGGGTGATGGTGAAGGGCGAGGTGGCTAGCACAGGAGCTCAAAAAGTTCCCTAAAGTGACAGTAACTATCTTGACAACAGTGCACTCAGAAGGAAAAATGATACTGTTTTACAGAAAGCCTGCCAGGTAGAAAGATGAGAGCTTAAGGAGTCTGAGAAACATGGGACATTTAAAAATAGTCTCAAAGTGGGCCTCCCCGGTGGCTCAGAGGTTGAACGCTGGGTTGCGAAGCTGCCTGCAGCCTCTGCTGTGCCGGTTTGTTCCCCGGCCGCCGGCGAGGGTCCCACATGGTGCACAGATCTCTCCTGCCACCCGCTGCTCCCCTCAGCAGTGTACTTAGGTCCTTCTGCCTGTTCTGCTCCCTGCTCTGGCTCTGGTGAATTCTCTCACCCTCCCGCGCTTCTGACTGTACCCAGTGCTTGTATAAATAAATAAATAAATCTTTAAAAAAAAATAGTCTCAAAGAATGGGGAGAATAAAGGCGAGCCCTCGTTCATAGACGGATGAGAGACACGACACGGAAAGAAAGTCAGAAAGTGGTGATTAGCGCAATAGTTAATTTGGGCAACCATCCTAATTCCCAGGGAACCAGACATTCAGTCTCACCCTACGGATCACCTGGTAAGCACAAGAGGAGAGGGTGACTCCACCACTTCTGACCCTGGCTGCCACAGCTGAGCCCTCAAATGCGGCATCACCAAGCAGCCAGTGGCCAGGCAGGGCCCAGCACCCAAGTGTGCCCCAGAGTATGGACTCATGTCGAAACGCGGGCAAGTGAGCAGACCTGTTTAGAACATGGCTGTGCCACCAAATTCTTCAGAAAACAGTAACTAGGGAAAGCAAACCATCAGCAAGCGTTTTAGATGAGAAGAGGCTGCTGTGGGTTGAAAGGCGACCCCCACGGTGAGTTCTTGTTCTAATCCCTGGGCCCTGTGGCTGTGACCTCGGTGGGGAAAAGGACCTATGCAGAGCCTAGGGTAATTGAACAAGGAACGCCCAGCCCCCTGGAAGCTGGCACAGACAAGGAAGGTTCTCCCCTAGATCCTCAGGGGAGCTCAGATCGTCCACACCTTTATTTCAGGTCTAGTCTCTAGAAATATGAGAATAAATCCTTGTGGTTTTCAGCCGCCTACTTTGGGGTCATTTACTATGGCAGCCCTAGGAGATCAAGAGAGACATACAGCCAAATGTGACACCTGAAACTCGACCAGAAGTTGTATCAAAGGAAAACAAAACCCACCGAGCAAAAGACATTTCAGGGACAAGTGGAAAATTGAAATATGGACTGGGATGCCCTCAAATAATTGTAGTTTTCCATAGATATTGTATGGCTTTACAGCCGTGTGGGAGACTATCCCTGTTCTGAGGAGCTGTGTGCAGAAATACTTATGGATTAACTGGATTACAGGTGTGAATGTTAACAAAAACATTTTAAAAGTTCTATTAGGAAAATAAGACAAGAGGAGAGAGCCAGCCTGCTCTGGGACGAGGACAGAGGTGCGCAGATGCAAAGATGCTTCTTCGGTGCTGGACTTGGCTGCCGGCACCTGGAGGTGGCACCTGGAGGACCCTTGGCTCTGGAAGCTGTGACTCTGCTGGTCTCTGACAGCTCCTGTCACGCCACTAGAGAGCTGTGAAGTCACATGGCCAGACGCAGTCACTCCGAGTTCCGACTGGGAGTGGCAGGAGGCTGAGGAGGAACCGGACCTTTGCATCGAACCAAGTCAAATCAACCACTACCTGTAGGCAGGACAGAAGCCTGAACCCTGGTTTGCAGCTTTCGACTATGCTGGTCACGTGTAGGGGGTGTGGATGGACCCCTCCCACTGTTGGCCATGGTACACTGGCCACATCCCTGCCCTTCCAGATCTTCATTTCACCAGCTGTAAAGGAGGTGAATCCACATGCCTCACGGGAGTGTGAAGATTAATCAGACGGGAGGAGAAAAACAGCACAGCAGGCGCCTGGCTCTCGGGGAGCTTTGGGTGGGTAAGCAGGGAGAGGCTCCCACTTGGCTTCGAGTCTGGTCTCACCTGGGGGGGCATCAGCCAGCTCGACAGTTGCACCTGATTTGAGACCCATATCGCTTGTTCCAACTACTGCTTCTGGAATGAAGTATGATTGACAAGATTTATCCAAGGGATTTATCCTGATAAGATGTGAATTTCATAACAACGCTTTGTTAAGACCCATTACCTCTGCCAGCAGGAACAACTGTTCAGAGACCGTGCTGGGCTTAACCCATGTGGGCAGTTCCAGGGTACATCGAGCAGGTCACTGGCTTCATAACTAAGACGACGGATTAAAAGCCAGCAGGTACCGTGCAGCTGTGCTGGGAGAGGAAGTCAAGTTGCACTGTCCTGGGCATGAGGACACCCTGACCTGCTGCTGGGCGGGGGCGACCCACCTGCTGTCCACGTCACCAGCAGCTCAAATGCAGGGTGCGTCTCCGCTGGGCAAAGCATCGCCTCGGCTCTCCTTGTAAGGCAGCTTCTTGTTAAATTAGGAAAGTCTCTTCACTCCTCACCCACAAACACAAGTACTGAGGCCAGCAGGTGCCTGTCAAGTGCTGCTCAACAGGTCTCACTTCAGACACTGAGCCTCAGTGTTGCAGGAAGTTGTCCTCCATGTTACACGAATAGATGGAAGCCGGGAGACGCAGCAGCAGTAACAGCTGAGGTCACACGGGTGATGAGAGACAAAGCTGGCTTGTGAACACGAGCAGCTCCATCAAGGCAGATTTCCATTGTCTTGTTCACCGCTGGATTCTGTGCACCTGGGAGACCCTCAGTGCCGTATGTTTTCAATGAGGTGCTCACCTGGTCCAGACTCCTCACTTTAAGACTGGGGGGCCGTGTTTCAATATGGGCCAGAAGTTTCTAAGAGTCTGGGCTCAGAATTCAAAGCCCAGTTCTCTAAGCTACCGGCTCTGGAAACTATTCAAGGCAAATAACCCACTCTCTCAAAACCGCAGTCTCCCCATCACAAAAGTGAGGGCCACACCAGCACCATCCCAGAGGATGACGGTCAGGGTGGAAGGAGATGAGCGCCGGGAAGCTCTGGCACCTACTATGTGCTCAGCGCAACAGCCGAGGCGACTATATAGCCCCTGATCACCCATGTTGTCAGATGACACAGCTGAGGCCGGAGAAGAAGGGTCCCTTATCCAGGGCAGGAGGAGGACATCATTGTAGAACATGTGAACAGCAGTGAATTAACCAATGTGACATTCACCCCAGGGGTCAGAGCAAACCCTGATTCTCAACCCACCAAGCCAAGAATGACTTACGCAGATCTGTGCCGTACTTAAGTCCCACTTTGGGCACCCAGCCCTTACTTCGGAAGTGGTGGTATGCCATGTACGTCGTCCTGAATGTGGGCTGGATCATGGTGAAAACATTCCAGAGATTTACAATTGTTAAAGGTTCCTAAAGATATTGGGAAAACTAGGGTGATTATCATGTCTGTATGCACAGGTATCAAGGCAGGTATACACTAGGATTCACAGGAGATATACATCAATCTAGGATTCACACCAGGCACACACTCATCTAGGTTGCACAGCAGACACACACACACTCTAGGTTGCACGGCAGGCACACACTCATTTAGGTTGCATGACAAGCACAAATCCACTTTAAGTTTCACGGCAGGCATATACTCACTCCGGGTTTCACGACAAGGCACAATCACTTGAGGTCTGACTAAAATATACACTTATTTTTTTCAGGCTACCCTGACTCTGAGTTCATAGCAGACACAAACTCACTTTAGCTTTCCCTGCAGGCACAAACACACCAGGTTTCCCGGCAGCACACACTCGCTCTGGTCCCTGGCGGTCTATGTCCCTCTAGTTTTCACTGCAGGTATGCATGCGATAAGTCCATTGAGGCTGGAGTGTAATCTCTTCCAAACATTTCACAGACCCTCATGAAAAGCTACTAATTATCAGACTATGTTCAGAAAAGCCAAATAAATTTGCAAAAGCTTATAAATGAAAAATGAATAAAGAAAAGCTCTCTTTAGTCTGGAAACCAGAGAATTCATGATCTCAGAGCACAAATCAATAACCCAACTCCTCATGTGGACTTTGTTGCTCATGTAGGAATTGAAGTGACAGAGAGTACTGGGTTCAGATAACCTTCTGGGGTAGCCATACCCAAAACTATAGTAAAGATACATATTAAAATATCCAGGTATGTTTGGAAAGGTTCTTGCTGCACCTCATTGCTTAATGATCAGTTATTTCAGTTCATTTAGGGTTGAGTCACTCAATGAGATTTGCTCAGTTTGGCTCAGTCTAAGAATTTAATACCATAAATATGAAATAAAGGTTTTTTTTTTTTTTTTTGGTTTATGTTTGTTTTTTTTTTCCAGTTGTTTCTAAGGCCACACATATGGGTATGGCCTCAAATCCCACTGTGAGCACACCCCCCAGCCTCCTGTCAGCTGCGCTCCGAGGAGGCTGCGACCCCCTCAGGAAGCCCAGTGTGTCCGGATGCTCTGGGTTCCAGATGGCAGCCGGAATGCTCTGGAGAGCAGCGAGGGCCCAGGAGAGAAGGCAGGGTGGACTATGAAAGGCCACCATCTGGGAAAGTGATGATTCACCCATCAGCCAGACAACTGTTTCCAAACCACTTGAAGACTTATAATAAGATTTAGATAGCCAGCATTTGATGACTGATAAAATTATTTGTTCCTGAGAGCAGAATAAAATTAATGTTCTGTTTATGGTTTGTTTACCTTTCTGTTTTTAATTTCAATTTTATTCGCATTACTCTACACAGGTATTATATTCACCTGGTTGAAAATTCAAAAAGTACAAAACGTGGGCACCAAGAGGTCTCCTCCCATGTGCACCTGGCCCGGGTTCTCAAAGGAGGCGGGCAACAGCGTCAGCGTCTCAGCGCCACCTTTCTCACAGGGCAGCAGGTTCCAGTGCAACACCCCGGGCTCTGGAGCTACCCAGACGTGGTTCAGACCTGGATTCTAAGCAGGCTGGCCGTGGAGCCCCGGCTGAGTCACTCGCTTCCACTGAGGCTGTTACAGCATCTGGAGAAGCCTGAGCAGCGGGGCTGGGGCTGGAAGTGCTGTGTGAAAAGGCCAAACACACAGCTTTTACCAAAGCAGCTGGTAGTTTTTATTTTGTTTTGCTTTTGATTTTACTCCTGTTCCAACACAGATTTCCTGATCATTATATAAGAGGATTGCTCTTCTCCTTGTCGCTAGGAATGAAATTCCATCCCAAAGGGTCAAAACTGACTTTCACCTGAGCAGTTGCAATTCAGGACCCAAAGCTGAAACTTTGAGAAAAATTCTGTTCTCATTTTACTGCGTGAAAGTTCACACATTTGTATCAAAGCAGTATGGAAATGATGACAGCCAGCTTCAAACCTCAGGAACATTTTAAGTGGACTGTGGCTAAATTAAAGAACTTACCTTCTCATAGTAAATACTTAGACACCCCAGGGCATAGACCAGGAAGAAGGCCTGAAAAGAGCAGGAACAGAAAATCCCCATTAGAAACTGTCCTACATTTCTTCTTTTTTTTTTTCCCCCTTATTTATTTATTTATTTATTTATTTATTTGTTTTTTTTTTTTATATAAAACTGTCCTACATTTCTGAGAAATCATTTCACAGGCTGATTTCCCTGTGCCTCAAATACAAATTAATGTACTTACTGGGTTGTTGGAAAATTCATGATGTATTTTTTCTGTTTTTCAAGCAAATGCATCATGACTATTCTGACAACCCAACATATCATCATCAAAATGATGACATCACTTGATATCAAATGATATTATTGAGATCATCATCAAAATGATGATTAAACATAAATGATTCATCAAAGTTCAAGGATAAAAAAAGTTCTAAGAAAAGGTGAGCATCACAAGTCAGTTTAAAATCAGTAAGAAACTGTGAGTACAGGGAAGGCTTCTGTGACTCAAAAGAAGGAGGCCCTGGAGCTACTAAGTTGTGTTTCCAGGGACTTGGTAATAAGACAGTGACAAGAACAGCAGCACCAACACCCCGCCCAGCGCTGACCCCACAGGGTAGAGGCATCTGATGACAACATGTGATACTCTGATCTGATGACAATATATGATACCAAGAGGACGGGCACCGCAGTGCTGGCCAGTGACCCCCCCATGAGGACAGGAACGTTCTACACCTGTGCCAACCAGTGTTTCAAATGTGGCCGTGCAACTGAGAAACAGCATTTTTGAACACTGTTTCATTTTAATTAGTTTAAGGAGTCACGGGTGGCTGCTGTCTCCCACAGAAGACTCAGCTATTTGTAAAATGAGCGATGAAGTGAATTATTCCAAACAACCTCTCCTGCTCTGGAAGACCGTGCTGTGCGCTGGGGCTTGTGCTGGGGAGGAGGCACCGACTGGGTGAGCGGGTGAACACGTGAACACAACTCCTTCTCTGCACATGTCCACACGGACACTCCTCCAAAGCCAGAGGAGTGCTCCGGGGGACAGGCGTGGCCAACGGCCGAGACTGAAGGAGAGGTGCTGTCTTAGAGGCAGGCAGCACAGGATAAACACTGGCAAAAAAGGAGGGACTGATTGTCATGTGGCCACAAGGTACGAACCCCAAATCAGACAGAAAATAGTTTTCAGAAAGTCATTTTTAGCCAACTTTTGAGGTTAACTATGCATTAAGTAAAAGGCACATGGGTTAGTAATTGTGCAGAAGGAAATCCCTAGAGTCCATTTGCTTACCCAGCCATCAGGACCTGACTGAATTGCACAGAGTTTTATCAAAAGCTGGTTTGATGCTATCTATCACTGGGTGGAAGGAGGTATGGTCGGTGTGCAAACTGTAGCTCAATAAAGCTCAATTTTTTAAAAAAGCAGGTGAAAATTAGCAACATAATATTCAGCCAATGTGAAATTCTGATGTGAATTTGCTCCAGCAATTTTACTTGGACAAATCTTTTGAAACCTCTGTGAAATGACAGAGGGCAGGCCCCTCAAATCTTAGCACTGAGGACCTGAGGGCTAGGAGTGAGCGATAGGCAAGCCTACTTTGGAAGGTGCCCATGGCGATCTCAACTCCGAATTACAGCTCCAGTCCGCGCACCAGTTTCTGAATGACACTCAGGATCACATCTTGAGTTAGTCTCATCTATATGGCCGCCTGAGACAGAGACCAAGAGCTGAAAAGGTAACAGGCTGGGAACATACCTCTTCTAGGCTGAGCTGCAAATACTCAAAGATCCTATATGGATTTCTTCTGCAGACTAGTCTCTTTTTTTGCACCAACTGAAGAGAAAGAAATAAAACATTCCAGAAAAAAGGTTATGGGGAGGGGACCGTATTTTAAAATTACGTCTCATACATTCCCCAGAATCACAACCCCTGGATTAATACTATTAAAAAATATTTTTTTATTACTATGTGGAAAGTTTTTTGTTTTTCTATGATAAACATTTTTTAAAAGATTTATTTATTTATGCATACAAGAACTTGGGTACAGGCCAGAGGTGTGGGGAATGAGGATTCACCAGACACAGAGGGGGAACAGAACAGGCAGTTGACTGAAGTACACTGCTGAGGGGAGCAGCGGGGAGACAGGAGAGGTCTGCTGCGCCTTGTAGGTCACCTCCCTGAAGGGTAGGGGATTGAGCTCGTGCTGCAGTGGCTGCGGATAGCTTAACCCCATGCGTCACCAGGGAGGCCCCTATGATAAACATTTTGACTCTTTTTTGCTCCAGCAATTTTACTCACAGTTGGGATCATTTTCTTGTCCACTTTTTCCCACCTAACTGACTAGCTCACTAGCACGCACCTAAGTTCTTAATTAGGCTGCTGTAGCCGGAGGTGGGTGGCGCACACTCATTAGCCACCAGAGTGCCTCAGTTTTAGCTGTTACAGGTCCTTCAGGGGACCTACCTCCCACGCAGACTGTCCCCGAGTGGGCTTCTGGATGTTTCCTTGATGGCTGACTCCCCCATGACTATCCTCAAGACTGAGTATACTTGTTGCTACGTTTTCTTTTTTTTTTGTTTTGTTTGCTTGCTTGTTTGTTTTTTTCTACTGGGTCTTCTTTGATTTATATATCTTTTTTTTTTTAAAGAGGCATGTATTTTTATTTATTTATGATTTATTTATTTGTTTGTTTGTTTGTTTTGTTTATACATGCACTGGGTACAGTCAGAAGTGCGGGAGGGCGAGAGAATTCACCAGAGCCAGAGCGGGGAGCAGAGCAGGCAGGAGGACCGAAGTACACTGCTGAGGGGAGCAGCGGGCGGCAGGAGAGGTCTGCGCGCCATGTGGGACCCTCCCCCGGTGGCCGGGGAGCAGCCGGGGATCGAACAGGCGCCGCAGTGGCCGCGGGCAGCTTCGCAACCCAGTGCTCAACCGCTGCGCCACCGGGGAGGCCCTGATTTATACATCTTTAAAGAGTTAAGTTACTCACAAACTTTGAGGTTTTAGTGGCAGTTCTCACCAGTGTGGAGCCACCACGTAGAGTCCCAGAACCCGTGGCTCCCTGGGAGCCTGGGAGAGGGTGTCTACACCCTCTCACCTACACTGGGGCTTACTGGGTTCCCAGCAAGGGGCGCGGGAGTAGCCACCATCTCTCAGGAGCCGACACCTGCTTTAGAGGAAGGGACGCATTTTCTCTACTTACCTCCTCACTTGGGGCATCCTGCCCCTCGCTCACATCACACACGGCTTCCTCCACCAGCACGTACTCCTCATCCGGCCTCTTCTCCTGGGCACAGAGGATACCCGCCTGGCCGCTGTCCTCAGGCTGAGTGCCACCCTGTGGAGGTGGAATGTCCTGTGGGTGGCAGTGGCCCTGGGGCGCAGGAGCAGCTACCTCTGCCGCGCATCCATCTGGGCTGTTAGTTCCTGGGCCCTCCTGCGGGCTGGCTGCTCGCTCGCCGGGCTCCTCCGTGCCATCTGACCTTCCCGTGTCCCTCTCCGCCACGGGAAGTTTTTCTCCACCCGCTGTGTGATCCGTGCTGGGAGCCATGTCAGCATTTGGCGCACCGGGCGGTGCAGCCTCTTGGTTCCCTCTTCCAGGGGGGTGCTCTGGCCCTTCTGTGCAGGCCCCGAGCACACCCTGCACTGTGTTCTTATCATGCCCCTGCCTGTGCATGAGCTCCCGCGCCAACTCCACACTCCGCCGATACCTGGGAAACAGAAACACAGAGGTAACGGAGCTGGAATTTCAATATTTAAGAGACAGCAAAGCAGGGAAGATGACTGGTGTGAAGTCAGCGCTGCGGCACGGCAGCCTCCCAGCTGCGGGCTCCAGGCAGACCTGTCCCTTGTTCTGCCGTCAGCACGTGTTTCTTTGTTCTCCTATTATTGTAAAGCTTTGTCTGCTTAATTTGACAAAAAAGTGGGACCCCCAGTTTAGCCACAGGAGGAACGTTTATGTCACTGTAATATGGTGGGCCCAGCGGTGTAGGTCAACTGAGAGCCTTCCTGCCTGCACAGCTCCGCGCCCTCCCCCGCTGGCTTCCCAGGGCTTCCAGGCTCCAGGACAGTCAGTGTCAAGAGCCTGCATTCAGCTTGGAAGCAAACCGACAACCTGAGTAAACACTTCACAGCAGCCACCAGCCTCCCCGTAGCACAGGGGAAGAAATGGTTGTGGCCACAGACAGCCATTCTAGGGGAAGGAGTCGTTTCCTATCAAGGCTTTCAGGGTTTACCTTAATCGAATGTCCAGGCTTAGTTTCTAACACTTGAAGGCAACCCCCACACTTGTCCCAAGTTACAAAGAGTTACCAGGAGGACAACAGGGGTCTGAAGAAGGGCCGACACCCCAAGCTGCAGGGTGAGTTTCTATGCTGGAGGACTGTCCACTGGAAAACTCACCAGTGGAGATGGAGATGCTGGACACTGAAGCACCTTCTGCCTCTACCCACAGCATGTAAGATGGCAGGTGGCTTGGGGACACAGGCCCCTCTTACTCTCCACCTTGGGCATCTGGCCTGGCTGTGCATGACTCAATAGGCCACAGCATATACGTTCCTACCCCACACACACGATTAAACAAAAATGTTGGTTTCTGCTGCATTAAAAGAAGAGATTAGTGGCTGCTTAAGCCTGATTCAGCAGGAGACTCCCCAAGTCGTCCACACCCTGTTTATCTTGTGCGGGGATACATCTTTCTGGGAACTGTGCCTCAGATGTCAAGATGAAGACCTGGCAAGGCCGCTCTGACACCTCGAGGCAGGAGGGCGCGCTGAGCACACGCACAGACTCTGGTCTGGCACGGTTTGTGTCCGGCCTGGAGTCTGTCACATGACTGTGACGAAGCTGGGCTTCACCTTCCCACCTGTGCCGTGGGCATTTCCAGGGCCACCTCCCAGGGAGCCTGCCAGGTACTACTTGGGACTGTCAAGAAGAAAAGTGACCCCAGAGCAGGCCACTCTTGTCCACTGTCAGAGCTTGCATTTGAGAGATCTGACACCACCATTGTTCTTTATATCTAAAGCCACTGGCTCTTGGGCTGTCTCTGAATCTCTTTTCTTTGAACACCAATTTTTGAGTCAATGTGTATTTTTCTGAGGAAGTGATCCACAACTTTCATCAAATCCCTCGACTCAAAATATGTGAAAGAACCACTGAGTTAAAGGTCTCTCAGCCCAACTCTGAGCAGATCTGGCACTGAGAGCGCACGCACCAGGTACTGCCCGCTCTCAGCAGCAGACTGTCCGGGCAGCTGGGGTGGCTTCCTCTCTCCGGCATGTTCTCGTGTGTGCCCTGAGGCTTGCTCTTCATCTGTGAGCCTGTGCCTGCCTCGCGGGGTTGCCACAAGGACAAGAGAGGACACATGAAAAGTGATTACCATGCTCCTGCTGGATCGATGTCTGCTACTACATGATGGCGAGGCTTAAGGCAGACTTGAAAAATATAACCCTCTTGACTCAATGCCTATTACACTTAAAAATACAAATTTCACTTTAACGAATGGAAATATCCACCTTGACCAACTGCTCTGTGAGAGGAGGGCAGTGCTGTGGTTAAGGCGCCGCGTCAGCTCCGGGTCAGGAGGTGGCTCTTGTGTATGGTTCTGTCACTTGGCATCTCTACATCTTTCTATTCTTCTGCCAAATGCCAGAAACACACCTGCATTCCTGCCTCATCCTGACCTCATGGATCATCATGGGATGCAAATGAGGTTGTGGCTACACAGGCACAAAGGAGGAAGCCAGCTTGTAGATGGAAAGAGCCAGAAACACAGTGACGGCATTACATGGCCAATGGGTCACAGAGCAAGTGTCCTCTTGTTGGCTGGCCATGCCTTAAAGAGCCAAGCTCCACTGAGACTGACCCCAAACGCGACTGGAGAGGTGGCAGGAGGAGACAAGTGAAAAGCAAAAGCCAGAAAACATGAGGAGGTGAGAGGCAGGCTGAGATCGCAAGTTATGAACAAATGATGAAGCACTTATTGATTGGGGGGTGGCATAATTTTCTGACAGATTGTGTGCTAGTAACGCTTTTAGACACCCTGAAGTCCACAGAGGAGATGAAAGTTGTAACCTGAAAATTTCTTATAAATTAGCTCTGTTCAAGGGTACCCCCTTTCATGCAACATTCCTGCCTGCTGCTGTCAGGCCTGGGCCACAGGTCTATCAAGTAAACAGAAAGCATACTGATGGCAAATGAAAATGTGAATCTTGCAAAAGACAGTGGGATTCATAAGGTTGAGGAAAGGGCTCAAATTACAGGCAAAACAATTTTGAAAAAAGAGAACCTGGCAGTTCCACTTGAAGAATTAAAGAAAAATAGCAACTTGGGTGATGACACCACATAGCATTTCAAAAGTGTTTCGGAGGGAAAAGAGTATGCATGGAGTTCATGGGAGGCCCATTCATTAGCGGGTGTATCATATGGTAACTTTAGATTCCCAGGCAGCCTTGTATCTTGCATGGTGGCCAAATACAGCTGCACTATTGATATGTTTAATAAACTACCACCACGAGGATTGCTGTGGGTGTGTGCTAACCCCTGGCACCTGAAATGTGACCTTATATGGAAACAGGGTCTTTGCAGGGGTGATTGAGTTAATCTGAGGCCAGACTGACTGGAGTCCTTTCAGAAGAGGGAAATCTGGACATGGACACGCAGCAGCTCACAGGAGAACATCGCACGATGAGGTGGGGGCAGAGGCCAGAGTGGTGAGTCCACAGGTCTGGGGTCGCCAGCTGGCAGGCGCAAGGAAGGGTCCTGCCTGGATCTCTGAGGGAGCACAGGCCAGCCAACCCCTTGGTGATGGACATCTGGCCTCCAGAACTAAGAGAGTAAATTTCTGTTCTTTTAAGCCACCAAGTTTGTGGTACTTTGTTGCAGCAGCCCCAAGACACCATTCAAAGGCCCATCAAATCCTTGGAATGTTAACCAGCGGTGCTTTAAAGGGCTGGCATCAGGTAGTAGCACCCTCCCCGTGCAGACCCTAACAAGTCCAGGCCTCCTGTCCAGGACGCAGCTCTGTGGCAGACTTCGCTTTGTTTCTGGGGTCCAGGTTTTGGATGCAGCAGCCTGTCCAGGGGGGTGCTCTGCCAGGGTCTCAGCAGGCCTCTCCCACAGTCTAGAGCCCCATCATTTTGGCCTGCAGCTGCTGAGGCTGCCCCGGCGCCACTGCCTCCTGGCCACTCCTCTGGCCATGGGGTTACTGGGCGCCCAGGGAAACATCAGGTTCTGCCGATGCATGCTTGAAATAAGATGAGAAATCACGGGTTTGGGTAGTTTTAGATGGTTTCACGGAAGAGCTGCACCTCAGGGACAACAAGGATTCGGGTGGATGAATGTGGAGTCGACAGAATCCTGCCAAGGTACCACTGAGAGTAGGCCGCAGAGGGGAGCCGGGTGTGGCCCCGTCTCCACAGCTGACTAAACCTCGTGAATGACAGCACAGAGAGGGGTGCCAAGGCCAGCTCAGCTCCAGCTCATGGAGCTGGGGGAGCAAGCCCCTCTCAGCTCGGGGGGGGGGGGGGGGAGAGATGGCGGGGGGGGGGGGGGAGAGCGGATGCCCTGAAACAGGTGGGCAGTGCGCCTGGTGGGGGGTGGGGGACAAAGTTCTGGGAAACAGGAAGGACCCCGGCTGTGGGAGTGGCCAAGGAGCAGCCTCTGTGCGGGCCTCTTACTCTGACCCCGGGGCACAGAGCAGGGACACAGCCATCTGTACCCACACGGGCAGGAGGCCAGCGCTCCAGCCACGACTAAGCCTCTTAGCCCTTAAAGACGTATACATTACAGGGTAATTGTTATACTCTGGAAGGAGTTCAGCTGGCAGAGGATCTGGCTGAGGATTATTTTTAAAAATAAACTTACTTAGAACATTTCAAATATGATTTGACCCACATTAAATTCAGACACAATCTTCAAGGACACACCTACTACTAAAATCAGTCCATCAAAATAAAAAGGTGTGAAAAGGCCATATAAAACCAGATGTGACTCTAACCATACCCTGACCAAGGCCAAGGTTCGCCATCACTTACTTCTTAGCGGTGATTATAGGCCAGTCTGTCTTCACATCTGTAATGACAAACAAGTTCTATTAGTTCAGACAAACTCGCCGTACATGAAAAAAAAACTACCGAAAAATAAGAAAAAAGAACATCAAGAATCACAAGATCACACACCTGGATGGTGTGTGGGGTCCATCCAGCAACAGCAAGTCCACCACCGCTGTGCCCACCCCCCGCAGGAGAGGCTTGCCGGTCACACGCCCTTCCTGGCTTAGGGAGACCCCGGTATGCCAGAGAGAGGACCCTCTTGGCCACCTTGAATGCTGGTGCCTTCCATTTTTTCTCAGATATACAAAACTTCATTACACATTTATTTTTCTTACTCCTGGGAAGCTTTTTTTCCCACCTCCCTGAGGAGTTCATAAGTGTGCACAGGAAAGCAACTGCACTTAAAAATATTATTAAAAAGGTACAAGATGATACCCACAGACAGCAGTCTGCTTTGAAGAGGGAGTGCGGTCCGCAGGCAGCCAGGGAACTGAGGTTAGTAAGACTGCCTCACCCTCTGGGACTGACATCTTAATTCCCTCATTTAAGACCAAGGGATAAAAATAATAACACAGCCCAAGAAGAGTAGATGTTCCCAAACGACACTCCTGGGCGGGTCCCTGCCTTGACTTGAGGTAATAAGGAGTCTTTCTGTGCCCTGGCCCTCTGGATGTGCCCCCATGAGCTCCTCTTATTCTCTATCTTGCACACACTTGAGTGAATACTTCCTCTGAATACAGAATCATACTGGGGTAACACATATGCCAGTTAAAAGTACTGGTTCGTTCATATGCGACTGGACTTGTGATGAGATGGCCCATGGGTGTTCACACTAAGAAGTGTCCGTGTCCAGGAGCTCAGAGGAATCATGCAGCAGTTACAGGACAGCCAGGCCCTAGAGAGAGCTCACAAGGATGGGGTTGCAACTGCTCCCCTCACTGACCCAGAGCCAGAACTCTGCACAGGCTGCAGATACAGCCTCACAATCGTGAAGTGACACGAAAAGCATGAGGAGCCCTGACTGAGCCACCTGCTGGAGACACAGAGGTGGAACAGCAAACCCCCTCTCTGAGATGCTCACAGTCCAGTGGGGAGACACCAGAAAGGTGTGATTCTAACTCAAGTCAACAGAACACAAGATAAAGTATCACAAAGGGTTAACTTTACCTGGAATGATTAGGAAAAACACAAGGAGGAGGAACTGAGCTGGGCTTGGAAGGAGGTATAAAAGTACACCAGGGGGCCAGGGGCAGGGAGACAGAGGAAGCCAGGCTCAGCTGAGGCCCAGCTAATGCAGGGCAGGTTGGTAGAAGTGGGAGCAGCCGGAGGTGGACAGCACCAAAAGGGAGTGGAGGGAGGCAGGAAGAGATCAGGTGGAGACAGATTACAAAGAATCCCCAAAAGTGGACACTTGAGATTTCCCTCTTTAGGGCAGCCCACAACCAGAGTTTCTGTTTCCTTCGTGTCAATTAATTTCCTTCAAATTTCTAACACTTTAAAACTTAGCTAATGCTTGGATTGGGAAAAGATATTTGCAGTTGTTGAGATTATCATACTATTTGTAAACTTATACTTTTGGACCAAATATCAGTAAATGCTAAAGCTGTGTGATGGGTGTGGCTTAGTGGGTTCATTCCGCTTTTTGCTCTACATTTTCTCCCTTATGAAAAATTATGAAACATGCAAACGGAGAGAGACTGACAGAATAGACGCCCATTGTCCCACCACCCAGCTTTGGTAATGAACTCAGGGTGGGTCTGGCTTCATGTGCTCTTTCGCCTCCTCTTCCCCGCCCCAAACCCCAGGTTATTTTGAAACAAATCCCTTCTATCAGACCATTTCATCTCAAGGCTGAGAACAGTGAGATTAACTTGCAGGCGGCAGGGCAGGACGGCACTGCCATGCAGGTTAGGATTCAGCAGCCACAAAGTAAGCTGAGAGGCTGCTGTGAACAGCAGGGTTTGTCAATGGGGCAGATCAGATCCCAGTTGGTGGGGAGTCAATTCATGAAACAGGCACAGCTGCACAGCCAGAAATGGAGGACGAAGAGACAAGTGATGTTCCAGCAGCAGAGAGAGGGGGTGTCTGCTACAGAGGGACCCTGCTGCTTTCCTCCAGAATCAAGAAGACATTTTTAAGCAGCAACCTGAACTCTGGCTCCAGCACAGGCGGCCAGCCCTGTCCTTTCATCTTTGCCTCCCCAGCCCCGTGTTACGCAAAGAGGAGCTGGTGTGGATGCAAAGAGGAGCTGGTGTGGGTGCACAAGCAACCTGCATTTTTTAAAGACCAAATGGCCAAATGGTACATATGTATCGACATCAGTAAAGATGGGTCGGGGAAAATATGGTTTGTGAAAACACGTCCTTTTTCTATTAGAAGCATGCTCATTCAGCGCTTTAGATGGCAGTAAGTTATTTTGCTCGCAATGTTTAACAAAAAAATACAAAAAACAAAAACCAAAAAACCCAAAACATAAAAATTCTTGTGTACTTATTTGACTGGAGAATTTCAATGCTTTTCATGCTCCATTGTAAAAGGACAATTTTATAACTTCTTTTGTACATAGGGCAGAAAAATTTGAAATTTTTTAAACAATGAAATGTTGCAAAAAATCTTTTCTCATTATGTTTTAATCTGCTCTTATTGGTTATGCAATCACCACGAGACTTCTTCAAGGAACACACAAGGCAAAAAAATTTGTAAGCTGAAGAAGAGGACCGGCAAGTGAGAACTATACATGTCAGTGTGTTTTAAAAAAACACGTCAAGGTCATGGTTATGGTTATCGTAGTAAATTCTAACCCTAGAAATAAAATACTCAACTTGCACAGAACAGGTGAGCAGGTACTTAATTACCAGTACCTTCCAGATGTGCAGGCCCGCTAGACAATGTGTAACAACAGCAACGTCTGTTAACACTTTGGGTAACTGCAGAAATAAGAAAAAAGCCATTTTCACCATCCCTAAGAATCCTTTCATCCTGACTAGAATTATTTTAGTTGCTGTATTGGCAGTAAAATTGCCAGAGTGCACCCTATTTCTCTAGAATTTTACTCTGCAATCAGAGTTGTTAAGATCAAAAAATGAAAGATAATGATTATTTGCCAAAAGAATGGAATGATAGCCAGGTTTACCTTTCCACTTAGCAACTAGCTGAGGATCTGAGATTGTGAAGTTTGGGCGGCTTCTGGACAGAATACCTTTTCCAAAATAACCCTTTAGGGAGGAGAGAAAAAAGTTAGTTTTGGCAAAGGGAGCAAAACTACTTGAGTTAACAAGAGATTCGTTCTACTATTCATAGCTCTACAGCATCCCTCTGATTACCGAAGGCCTTGGCATTTCTCCGGGATCTTCTGGAGGATGCTAATGTGCTTTCTGTATACCCCAAATTGATGATTTTAGTCTAAATCTGATACGCTGAAGGCAACGGGCAGACAGAGGCAGGTTTTGCCACCACATGCGGGTCAGGAGCCAAGTCGACCAGGGACAAAAAGCCACGCTGCTTCTCTTGTACCCAGAATCAAAGAATTCCTCTCCTTCCAGCTGATTCTAAAAGCACACAGGTGCCCACCTCCCCATTTAAAATAAGTATAAAATATTGAAACCTGGAGAAAATGGAAATAAACACTCTCTACCCACCATCTATTATAAATTTAACAAGCAGAAACCACATGGTGATTAGTGCTTTGCAAAGCCGCTTGCTCAATGGTATGGATCATACATGTGGGGAGAGACAGCCTCAGGAGGCCCCCTGTCATCAGGGTCAATGTCACCACTGCACCCCACTATACAACTAAGATATTTTATAGAAAACATCCAGAGAAGGTGCATTTATAGAGCCAAAGGGGATCAGAGTTGGGGTGGGAGCAGGGATGCAGTGTGCTGATGGGACACTCCAACTGGACTGCGATGCTAGGAGCTCATGAATTGTATGGTACAATGGGTGAGTTTTATAGCTGCAAATTATACCTCAATAAAGCTGTTTTAAAAACCCTCCCCCCTCTGCAAGTAATGAATTAGCTATGGGGTTAAAGCTAGCAATCTCAACCCAAGCCTATCACCGATGGAGGGAGCAAAACCAGAACTCAACCTCATGCAGGAAGCCGTCCCCGAGGGGAGAGGGCAGATAAGCAGCCAGAGTACGAGCCACAGTCTCATTCAGTTTGTCCACGAGCCAACACACGCCGCTCCGTGGCTGCTGGGAACGGAATGGGAGTGAGTGGGGAATTTCACTTTTTACCCATCACACTTCTGTAAATTGCTTGAGAAAATTTTTTTTACAATGGACAGGAATAGTTTTTATAATTGAGAGATCAGAATGGGAAATGCCCATCCCTTCTTCACCGGGAACGCGGGCTCTCCGGCAGGGCGTGACCATCACACCTAGGCTCTGGGCACTGGCTTCACGTCACTCTGTTCCTGTGCTGGACCATGGGAAGGGGGAGGGCTGTTTCTGGCTTGTGTCTGCAGGTGCTGGGGGTGGAGAGGAGGAGAAAGGCCTGCGGGCCCAGGGCTGTCAGGAGGCAGCCTGGCCCGGCCGCCGGCACTTGCCTTCCCATACAGCTGCTGGATATCTTCTGCGTTCCTCACAAGGACATTGTTGCTGATCATTTCAGCGCGGAATATTCTGAATTCTTTCTTCGGACTGCAGTCCTGACCAAAAGGGATGGGCAGTGGAGACTCGTAACTCTCATACACTCTTCTCTTCCTTTTTGGGGCATGGAAAACTGCTTCTGCCATCGTCCAAGAATAACTGCTCTTTAAAGAGTAGACATAGGAGAGAGAAACAGGTAATCAATGACGACACTGGTCAGAAATGTGAATTCATTTATACCCACGCTCAGAAAGCTTCGTGAAAATATTTATAAAGCAGTGAATTGCAAACCACGGAGTAAAGAGAACATCTTGTATGAGTAGCAAAAATCCCATTCACCTGGAATAGCTCAATTCCCACAACAATGCCCAAGAAGTCAGCTGCAGTCTCGCAGTCTTTTTTTTTTTCCAAAGATTTTTACTTACTTTGCATACAAGAACTAGGGTGTAGGGTGAGTGGGTGGTGAGAGGATTCACCAGAGACAGAGTGGGGAGCAGAGGAGGCAGATCTACTGAAATACACTGCTGAGGGGAGCAGCCAGGAGACAGGAGAGGTCTACGGCGCCACGTGGGTAGCTCCCTGGCTGTGACAGAACTCAGAGGTCTGGTGATAGCACTGAGACTTAACCCCTAGGCCACGAGGGAGGCCCCCAGCGGCATTATTTCTAATGACAGAGCACATGAGCTCAGGGACATGTGCAAAGTCACAATGCCACACAAAGGTGCCCTCGTCCCAAGGGAAACACAACAGGACGGCTATCAGGACTACTTCCCCTTTCCCTCAGCCAGCAGACACTGAGAACCTATCAGAGGTCCATCAGCAGAGGTGCTGAGGGCACAAGGATAAGACCAAAAGAAATCACATCCCCAAAGCATTAAGACTAAAGCATGTCATGTCCGAAAAAGAAGCTTGAAACACATTCCAGACATTGTGTGGATCTGCTCTAATTTTTTAAGGTAAATCAATCAACAATAACAATAATGAGAGCAGCAGCTATCATTACGGGGTGAGCCACCAAACTAAGAGTAAGGATGCTAAAATCAGATGGTTGGGACTGGTATCCAGCTTCACCACTTTCTGACTTTTGGGCAAAAATCTACTTAATCTCTCCACGCTTTGGTTTTCTCACCAGCAAAATAAGGGTAAAAATAGACTCTAGGAGTTAAGAGCCATCAAGTGCTTAGAAAATTACCTGGAACATACTGAGCCCCATGGCTATTTGCCCACAGCCCCAGTGTAGGGGATGGGAGAGGTTAGTAAGGCCACGAAGGAGGGACTGGTAAGACCACCTACTGGAGAGACTGGGGTTCAACAGGTAGCCAAGACTGCCAACTATTGGTGACAGGATGGCCAATTTAAACCAAACCCCACCAGCTCCTTGAGGCACACAGCACTATCCTAGCCACTGCAGAGGAGGGAAGGGACACAGAGGGCTGGGGGCTGTGCACCCATAAGGGGCCTACCTTTCCTCAACCTGTGCACCCTGAGTTCAGAAGGCTGTGGTGTTTATTTTTCTATCAAAAGCAGGGCCTGTTCCTTATTGCCCCATTAAGCAGACAAGCTAGCACCCTTTAGGTGCACAGTAAATGTTTATTCAAAAACAAACAACACAAAAAGGGGAAAGGAAGATCCATTTGATTTTCCACCCCCTTGGGGCCACTTGCCAAACAAGTCTGGAGAAGACCTCCCCGCAGCAAACCTCACTTTCTCCCAATTAAAAGTCGTTTGAAGCTCCAACTGCACACCTCCTGGGCTAGGAGGGGCAAGCAAGCCTCCTCTGGGGACCTTGCAAGTTAGAACCCAAGACGAAGTCACATAAACAAACAGCCCTTTGAAGGCTGCGGTGAGGATACCCTGGAGGGGCCCCTGGTCAGGGCCTGGCACGTGCGCCTTCGCGAGGCTGCGCACCCCACACGCCGGCGACAGCCCCTCAAACCAGCCAGCTCCTACCCTACCCCTTCGCTGGCTTCCTCGGGTGCCCCCCCCGCGCTCCCCGCGCCAGCAACCCCACTGCTGAGGCTCCTCTCGAGCACCCAAGGGGTCGGCCGCATTTTGGCGCCCTCGTGCGGGGCTTGTTTCCAGAAAGATGGAAGAAAGATGTCCGAAGGGCCACAGGTGCACGCAGCAGGGAGACAGGGGTTCACCCCGACAGAGCTCGGCAGCGGGGTCCGCCATCGCGCCTCGCGGGAGTGCCCGGGGGCGCGCTCGGGGAAGGCCAGGGGCGCCCCTCCCGCTCCCCCGCCGGCGCCTTACCTCCCCGGCCCCGCGCGCTCGCTGTTACCCGGCAACGCCGGCGGGGGCGGCCCACGCTGCCGTAAAGCAGTGCAGCCGCAAAGCCGGCCGAAGGCACCGTCGCAGAACTGGTGGAAACGCGCCTGCGCAGTGCGGCCTGGAGGCGGTCCCGCCGGCGTCCCGCACGCCCTCGCGGCGCCCTCGGCGGAGGCTGCACAGTCCCGCGGGCCGCGGAGCGAGGCGGGCGCTGTCCCTGCACAGCGTTGCTCTTGTTTAATTCTCACGACAGTCCCCCAGGAACCGTTTTATGATGAGATCCAGAGTTCCTCGCCCAATGTCATCTGGCTAGGAGGTAGTGCGGCCCCAGCCCAGATCTAAAGACAGTCGTGGGGCTGGAGAAAGGGCACCAGACTTTGTTGAATGGCCAGGACATGAGCAAAGGGGCCGCGGCGCCCAGCCCTGAAGCTGACCTCATCGTCAGCATGCAGTATAAACTGCAGCATGCAGGGCATTTACAAGGAAGCCCTCTTGCAGACACCGGACCAACAGCCACGCTGGGCGCCAGGAAAGGGCAGCAGGGCAGGGAGTGACACCTGCCTTTGAATTCCCACCACACCCCCACTGGTGTTGTAACAGGGTGGTCCCAGGAAAGGGGGAGGTTCCCTGCCCCACCCAAGGGAGGGTGGAGCTGAGGAGGAAGAGGAGAAGCGGCAGAAGAGACTGAGGAAGGAAGGAAGCAGGATTGGAGCCAGGAGACCTGGAGGAGGCGCGTGGAGCCTAGAGACACGTGAAGAAACTGTGCTTGTCTTTTGGTCGTGGACTGGGTGACACAGATGTGGGTGAGACCGTGGGGAGGTGACAATGGCAGCTTTTATCTGGATGTTGATTTTGCTCTTTTCCTTCCGGGCTTGTCCGGTTGTTTGTGACCCTTTTCTGTGGGTCCCCACTGGAAGATGCTTTAGACTTGTGGCAGGCTTTGGGGCCTTGTTCTGGGCCAATCCCATATGGATGGAGTTTTACCCACGAGGGGATGGGTAACTTTGGGTGCTTCATCTAGAAACTGGACTCTTTGCCTCACCTGTATTGTTTCCTAGTTTTTATTAAAGATCCTTCCCATTAAAGTGTCATATGTTTTGTGTTGATGCGGCGGATGGCGGAACCCATTTAGAGTGGGCAGGTTTGCGGGGTTTGGGCTGCCCCTCTCCCTGTCCTATAACAGATTTGGCGACCACGAAGATTTAGGACAGAGCCATCCGTGGTTAGTCAGCCCCATGGGGAAATTGGGCTTCCCTATGGCACTGGCTACCATAAGCGCAAATGTGATTTTGGTTTCTCCAGTGTGTTTGTTTCATATGTCGATTTGCTGTTGAAAAACTGGCTTGGGCTTTGTGAAGATCTGTGTGTCTGTATGTAATTTGTTTGTAGTGACTTGCTAAGACATTTGATTTTGTGGAAATTGTTCTGTTCAACAGTTTTACTCAAAAGATTAGGCAGTACATTGGACCATGTGGCCAGATCAAAGATGGCGTCTGAGGCCACTTGGCGGGCTCTTGTAAAATTCAGAGGTTCTTGTTGCTAGGACTTTGGAACTTTTTTTTTCTTTCTTTTTGTAATCTCTGCTGTCTCATTAGCATTTCTAAAGGCAATAATGGTTCTTCAGTGGTATGTTGCTTTGTCTTTGGCTACTTCCTGCTCTCTGCCTGATGGATTTTGCAAGCCAGTTGTGGAGCAGTGGTGTTTAAATTAGCAAATGTATGCCTGGGTGTTAAGGAAACAGTAGCCTTAAGCAGTAACTGGTAATTGCTGGTATCCTTGATGGATTCCTGGAGATAACTTGAATTTTTGCAAAGTCTGTATCAGAAAAATTAACAAGATTTTGTCTGAGTCTGAAAGGATTTGCTGCTGTGAATTTTGTCTACACAATTTGTTTTGGGCATGTTTGCCATTTTGAATACTGGATTTGTTCAATTGCTGGTGCAAGACAAGATTCTAAGTTTTTGCTTCCTACTGAGGAAGGTCTGTTATGGAAAGCACTTTTTAGGGTGCATCATGTAACTGTACCAGGTTTTCATACCTGTGTTGTTGTCCCTCCCTAGTGTGGGGGAGGTGTAATCTGTGCTTAGATGTTTAATCTGCTTTTTCAGCTTCTGTCCCAGAGTGGCTAACAGAAGTAAGGAGATGACTCCTTTTAATTGAAAGTTAATTACTGATAATTTGATTTTGCTTTTTCGGGTTCTATTCCAGGAAACCCAAGGAGTGCCTGCTTGGTGGCTAACAAGAGATGACTCCTTTTGCTTAAAAGTTAACTGTTACTTTTATTCTTTCAGTTGCTGTACAGAATACCCCAGGATTGACTTCTAATAAAAAGTCTTCAACACTGAAAACCCTAAGGTGATAAACAAGGTCATGTAACTCTTGTGATTAATAAAACTTTTCCTTCCTATTTCCAAAGTCTTAGGTTTGTAGGATGACAACTGGAAATTTTTCTGCCAGTAACACTCCACATTTTTTTGGACTTTGACATTTTTTTTCTGAGCCTATGGAGTAAAACTGCAGTTACCTAACATATTCCACGTGGCATAACTAAAAAAAAAAAAACTGTCTTTGTCTACATGTTGTATGTCTGTATGTCCTTGTGTCTAACTGTCTTGGCCTCTAGAGGTTAAAATTGGTATACATGGTGCCCATAGACATTGGGAAAAAAAAAAGAGTCTCCGGTTATGAGAAAAACTAAAGGTTATGGTTTGATTGTCAACATTGTGCTACTGAACTAAGCCGGTGCCTTCATAGACATTGAATATTGTTGTTTCTGTTAATTTTCTGATATTTATGGCAAAGCTTCCCAGAAATCTAAATTCAAGTACAAATTTGGTAGCCTGTCATTTGGCTGATGCAAGGAAATTTCGTGGAACCTCAGTAGAGCTCCTGAGACACTCCACAAAGTTTCTCCCTTTCCTCCTGGGAAGGAATTAGATGAATTTGTTCTATTTGGCTCACCTAGTAGAGTAAAACTGGAAGGGAAGCATTGTCACTTGGGAAAATGGTAAAACTTTGGTATGTACAAAATGTTAACAGTAGTATCTGGTATGTATGTAAATTGTCAATGGTGATTGTCACCTTGTAATATTGTATAATTCAATTGTTTCACACCTACAGAAATTGTTTCCGGAAATATAGGGAGAAAAGGTCTCAACAGATTCCTATTGATGGAACTGTTGAGAGTAAAAAAACTTTCCTACAAAGGACTGAATAGACCTGGAAATACACCTGACATTTACTAAGTTTTCTCTGACATGATACTGGTAATTTTTTATGCATTTTGTCCTGAATCCACAAAGTTTTGTTTTATTTTGTTTTGTTTTGTTTTGAGTAACCAGGATCTGCAGCACGGTTGCAATTTTTTTTCCAGCAAAGCTAACTTGTCACATTTTCTCTCCCCTTGATACCAACACAGCATACAAATAGTGGTAGTAATTTTTGCTACTTATCTCAGAGTCTGTTTTTGCATAACTTCCATAGGGATTTTGTCTGCTTAAACAAAAAAAATTGGACATGCGTTTGATTGTGTGGCTTTGTGTGGAGTTCTTCCAAAAAGTTGAAAAAGAGCTGAACCAAGAAGAGGAGAACCTGTTTGCTTTGTTCGTAGGGTTCCAGAGACCTCCAAAGAAGGTGAGGAAGTTTGCCTCCATTGGCAGGACTGGACAACCTGGCCAACGAAAATGCCCTGGTACCCTCGAGAAGAGGAAAGCCCAGGTGGAGTCTGATGAGACCAACTTTGTACCTGAAGCCTACGTCAACTGGATGCCAATGGTTCGCTCTGATCCTATATGGAGTATTTCAACAAAGCCAGCTAAAAATTGCTGTTAGTTATTTCTGCCCTGTGATTTTATGCAAAAATAGGAAAAATGGTTTAAAAGTAGATTTAGTTTGCAAACTTTTGCTATGCTGTTAAAAGTTTGGGCTCAAGGTTGAGAAAATTTGTGTTTTACATCAGTTGAACCATTTTAACATTTTTTCCCTGTGATTTTGATATATTTGCTATCTTGTTTTAGCCAATGCTCCAGATTTTTTTTTTCTTTTGGCTTGGATAATGGACTATTTTTAAGTAATGAAACTGTCATACTGGACATTCATGGACAATGCTGCTGACTAATTGTTGCTTCTCTTACACACATTGTAACCCTGAAAAAAAGATTGTCTCCTAAGATTACACCCTGAGATCTGTGCCATCATAGATATGGTGGAATAAAAATTAAAAGGGGGGATTGTAACAGGGTGGTCCCAGGAAAGGGGGAGGTTCCCTGCCCCACCCAAGGGAGGGTGGAGCTGAGGAGGAAGAGGAGAAGCGGCAGAAGAGACTGAGGAAGGAAGGAAGCAGGATTGGAGCCAGGAGACCTGGAGGAGGCGCGTGGAGCCTAGAGACACGTGAAGAAACTGTGCTTGTCTTTTGGTCGTGGACTGGGTGACACAGATGTGGGTGAGACCGTGGGGAGGTGACAATGGCAGCTTTTATCTGGATGTTGATTTTGCTCTTTTCCTTCCGGGCTTGTCCGGTTGTTTGTGACCCTTTTCTGTGGGTCCCCACTGGAAGATGCTTTAGACTTGTGGCAGGCTTTGGGGCCTTGTTCTGGGCCAATCCCATATGGATGGAGTTTTACCCACGAGGGGATGGGTAACTTTGGGTGCTTCATCTAGAAACTGGACTCTTTGCCTCACCTGTATTGTTTCCTAGTTTTTATTAAAGATCCTTCCCATTAAAGTGTCATATGTTTTGTGTTGATGCGGCGGATGGCGGAACCCATTTAGAGTGGGCAGGTTTGCGGGGTTTGGGCTGCCCCTCTCCTTGTCCTATAACAGTGTGTGGCCTTGAGTGACTGGCTAAGCCTTCCTGAGTCTCAGTGTCCTCTACTGAAAAATGAGTCATCAGGATTATATGAGATAATAAAAGTGCTTTGG